GGAAATTAAAACAAATTGAAGCATATGTCATCGTTAAATCTATCGGTGGTACCCCTTTAACTTTTGTCCATTTGATTCTCTTTCAATGTTGCTCAATTTCTCGAACTCTTGCATCCTTTCCATAAAATGATTCGGCCAAATCTCGGATTTTGTTATTGAATGAGTCGTCTAATCCGGTGATGTAATTGGTATAGGGCATCCCGGTTTCAAGTAAACTTGAACAAAATGACTTGATTTTGAAAGCCGCCTGATACACATAATACGATAATTTGGATTTTGAGGTGGGGCGGTGTGCAGTGGGAAAAAAGTTTTTGAAAAACCGTATCGTGTCGAATCAAAACACACTATATCATATGTGCATGCTATTAGATGACTCATTTAAAGGAAACACAATCATTTTTCCTCTGGTTCCAGCCCACTAAGGCAAGGAACAAGAGACCCATAAACTTCATCGAATTTTTCTTTCTTTCCGTACAATCGTGTATATGATTCTTTATGCATCCTCAACTCTTGGATAAGTTGATGGCAGAAAAATGTATGATTATCTTCTCATTTACTTAGTAAATCTGAAACTGCTCGATAACCGCAATTATCGTTCCCCACAACATTGACGATCCGCTCGATGTATTTGTGCATAAAAACGAGCATCTCGTCAATGAATGGAATTTTCGATGGAGGTGACGAAGAAGGTGGTTTGCTAATGCGAGCTCCTTTGACAAGACTTTTTTAGGGATTTTGGAGTTAGTGTAGTCGAATTTTCATTCGGTGTAGACTTGATTTTCTTCAGAGTAGCTTTTGTTTTTACCGGTTGAGAGGGTGGTTTCAAGTCGGCGATTTTCGGATAGGAAATCTTCCTCAATTGTTCTCTGATGTGGAGTTTCATGGTATCATCGACTTTCAAAAATCTCTCTTGTATCACTTCCCATTCAATCAATATAGAGATACTTCATTTACCGTCTTTCACGACACTATAATCATCAAACCTAAGCCTCTTCCAATGAGTGCAAACCTCATCCATTCTTATCGGGCTACCAAGTTTCACCTTTTTTGCAATAACACAAGCACATGGGAGACCATATATTTTCACAATTGTGCATCCACACTTTGCGCTATCGGAGCTTACATTATCATCTTGTTTAGTCTCGTGAAAAATATAATTCAAACTCACTCGAGATATGTTACCGACTAACTGAGAATAAAGAGTGTTCTCTTTAAATCAGCATTCCAAAATTGTGATGCTCTGACCAAATGATGTTCGTATCTCATTATGTTGGTTTTGAATCATTTGATTCACAAAGTCCTAATCTCTACACAAATCACCCTTACTATTTCCCAATCAATATTTCAAAGTAGCATGGGCAGACTCAACTCTGTTATTTGTTGTATTTCCAAGGTGTCTAACCTTATTAGTCCAAGTACAAACAATTTTCTCCTTCACCTGGTCAAGAATTGTTCTTTCAACATATTTCAACAAATCAGGATATTTTTCACACACTTTTCTGAAATGTATAACAAAATCGGCATATAGTTCTTTTGTGGAAGAATTTATTATACCATTCCGTGCATCCTTTTTTTTTTCACAACCACACATGTCTTCACCCCTTTTCCATCTTCAAACTCTATTTATTTCGTCCTTACCGTGGGTTTAACTCGACTTCTCACATTCTTTGTCATGTGATACCTATAAAGTAATGCATTAGAAGTAGGAAATTCCTTTGCAACTAAATTCATCAAGGCGGTATTGTAGTCTGTAACAATCATTTTAGACATCTCACATTGGTCATTCAATAGTGTCTGACACACCTCTAAGACCCAAGTAATATTCTCCTTTTTTTCACTCTAGAAATGCAAACCCAACAAAATATATCCTCTCAATTAAGGTAACATCAATCATCTCCAATAATGGAAGTCTATACTTGTTAGTCATGTAGGTTGAATCAAGTATGAGCATAGTAGGAAACGTGTTGAAGAACTCTATGGAATCAGGATGAGTCCAAATATATCTCTGATAGTAACTCCATCCTCGGATGTTCAGTACCTAGACACGTAATTGTTATCATCCAACAGTTTCAAGAGTTGTTGCATTTCAATTCTATCCACCTAAGCACCTTGTTAGTTTGGTATCGAATATTATACACTTGCTTAATATTTGATATATTTTCGGGTGTTTTCTGTTTCAATGTTGCAATTATATTTTTTGATTGAACTGAATTCAATGTCATGTCAACAACACATTCCTTCTATTAAGACATGAGCCGACACACACTACGATGGCCGACTAATTTTTCACAAATAATGATTATGCAAACCGCATATGACATTAAATCTCCATATTTTGTTTTTTAACATGTAACCACGCACCTTAAACGGACGCTCACGTTTTCTTGAACCGGTGTCATCTCTTTTAAAATTTCGAAGAAGAATTCTATATTTCCCGCTTCTTTCGCACGTCATTGTCACAAAAGCGCATCTTCTATCCGAACCATTATCGGACCTTCCAATAACCACATCAAATTCAAGTTTGGAGGCCTCCATACGAATTCATTAAAGCATTTGATCACGAGATTTAAATTCTTGCTCGCTTTTAAATCGGTTGTCAACATCTACCCCCTTCATAACAATACCTTTGATATTCGAAGAAACAACTTGTTTGCGAAAAACATCAGGGTGCACCATATCTATTGAAAACAATTACCACATAACAGTATATAAGCACCACTGCTAAAAACAGAATTGAAAAATGAACACAGACTGGTTCCGCAAATGCATCTCTGAAAATGTTCATACTCGTTCCGGAGATGCATTTTCGGAAGAAAAAAAACGCTCGTTTTTTCATACAAAACTCAATATTAATGTGAGCAATGCAATGTAAAATAAATGATCTTTACCTGAAATTCTAACTTCTTTTACTCTATTTGATGTGATGAACCACAAGATTGGAGATTTAGAGTGAAAAAATGGATTGAGAATGGAATGATTTTTGGTGATGTTTTGTAGAGAAGTACAATGGCTATGTGATCATGCAGTTGTGTTTTTGATTAGATTATTCCAGAAATGAATCTCCAGAAATATTCGACATGCAAATGCGACAGCATATTTCAAAATTACGCCCAAACTTTCGAAGATGTATCTCTAAAATTTCCACTAAACTAATCAATTATGGATATATTTTTTGAAATATTTTAGAGATACGTCTCCGAAATTAAAAATACCCAACTTATAGGAAACAATTCGTAATGGCTTGCGTTGAATGTATATTGAAGTGCGTCAAAAAATGTATCTCTAAAGACATTTTTTTATTTTCGTATGATACCTAAGAAATATATAGGGTAAATTAAAAAATCTTCGAAACAAATTGGTCCAGTTGCTTTTGAATTGGAGTTACCACGTACGAGTAGAATTCCAATGCTATATGAAGATCTGGAGCTCTAAATTTTCCCTGCTGAAGTCAGAGTAATCACATACAAGTAGAATTCCAATGCAATATGAAGATCAGGAGCTCTAAATTTTCCCTGCTGAAGTCAGAGTTATCAGTAATAATTCCAATGGTTCGGCTTAAGTTCTCATTCAGTGGAAATATCTTTCAAAATTTTAAACAACACGGAAATCAGTAGAAGTTATTCAAAAACAATTTCCTTCATTTCAACTAGAGAATAAAGTGATTCAAAGTTATTCTAAAACAATTTTATTTATTTCACCTTGAGAACAAAGTGATTCTTTTAGGGGAAGGAGTATTGTTAAGAGGAGAGGGAAAACTTAATGTAGCTAATAGGCAATTATTTATTTTTATTAATAGTTCCTGTTTTTTAATATTAATAATTAGTAGCAGTTATGTAACAGTTATTGGATGTGAATAAATAATAAGAAAACCACATGTTACAGGAGTATCTTGAACTTGAAGATATTTGAATTGTTAATGGGAAAGGGAGAGGAGAGACCCGAGGTTTTCGAAATCCTTGGTAAGAATCACATTTTGTGTAACATTTCATTTCTGTAATAGTGTAAATATATATGTAACACTTCAATTCTGTAATAGTGTAAATATATATATGTATTCTGTCTCTGCTGAAATCTTTTTCCAGAAAACGCTCAATAAACTTCTATCCTTAATCATAAAATAATAATTGCACGTGAGTAATTATTTTAAAAAATGAGATCTCCACATATGAATACAAAATATACAAATCAAGCAAATAATCCACATAGATGTCATGTTTTAAAAATAATAATGTAGATAGATTTACCAAGTAAACGTTCTACTTAAACGACATGTTCTAAACAATCCACTCAAGCAAAACAAATGTTGCGGATATTTTAGATTACTAGACATTTCAAAAGAAACAATCCACTTGGACTTCATGTGTTAAAAATCTACTGTCGCAGTCATTTTATGAAACAAATTTCAAACTAAAGTGGCTGTATACTATTGTTATTTCTGAGTAGAAAAAGATATACACGTCAAAAAAAGTCGGAGGAAAGGGAACAAAAAAATTAAAACAAGGGTTATGCCCCAGTAGTAAGCAATCACAAAAATGGAACCTTGTTTATCAGGGTATTTTTCACAAGATTATTTCCCGCATACAATTGCTCCATCCCAATTCTCAGCACTACACAAGGTTCATCTTCTTCCGCATAGAACATATCTCTCTAGAGCATGGCTCATCAGAGGACAACAGACACCCTGAAAATTAACCATTGAAATGTCATTACTCTAAAACAAAAAATCCATTGCAAATAACACTACTCATAATTTTGAGAGAGTCTAATTCAATTCCACAAAACCAACTAATAAGATGAAGACTGCCCACAAACACTAGCCAAGTCATATGAGAAGTTGATGTGAGATTTTCACACACACCCTTCCGTCCATATGGGCATCTATAGTGTGAAGCTTGCAAGCCCTCTCACCCTCAAATGATAACACAATACACACCGACAAACAGAAGTAGATAGCCATTCATTTATTTACCATTGTAGGACAAAAACTGGGGCTGCTGAACTCAAATCCCAGTAGCAGGTCTTCGTTTCACAACCAAATCATCAGCTGAATAGTAATCAGCAATGAGCCGGTACATGTATGATGGGTTATGCCCTCCACTGAGAAGAAGTAATTTCCAAACCAGCAAAAGCAGAGAAAGAAACTAATTAGTACACATTTTCAATGTCAATGACCACCAAGAAAAGCTAGTTTTCTATCAGTTACAGTTCAACTTACGTGTCAGTAATAAAGAGACTAACAAGTTTTGGTGGCACATAATCAAATGTTGGGTTTACGACATGAAGAGAACCTCCACCACTTGCGGAATCCATGCAATCCGAGAACTCCCCAAAGTCAAGTAGCTCAGACGGGGATCTCAGCTCGTTTAGTAGGACTTCAGGATTGTGTGGATACAAAGGGCACAACTGCCAATAAGATAAAGCAACATTCAACAAAAGCCTAACATTTGGTAACTGTTGAGGAACCAGATCATAATTTAATACCAAAACAGGATTATGGCACCAAAGTGTCCTTGCTAGCAATTGACAGAAATATCATTAACTACGGATGCATACTACGTGCAGCCAACTGAAATATCATTACCTATCACTTTGGAAAACAGAAATTGTACTCAGATTTCTCCAAATTTTGTAGAACTGGAATAACTAAGGCCTGTAGCATGTTTCAATATTACCCCGTTGCAAATGAAGGGGAATGAATAAAGACTTCAAACTATGATTATGGTTTGATATGATTGATAATCTGATTTGATGATACAAAAAGACTAAAACACTAACGCTTTGTTATACCAATGCAAGACTCCAAATTCTAATTAAAAAAGAAACAAATCATGATAGTAAGTAACAAATATGAAAGCTAATCTTATGTGATTGTAGAAGATAATATCAAGCTATTGTGGGATATTTTCATATAGTAACATTTTTTACAAGACATTTCTTTTCAAACTACTATGTCCTCATAACTCTTATATTTTAATGCATAATAAGTTGTTTAAGTAGGTAAAACCGTAAAACAAGTACCAATATGTAAATGAACATTTATTTTAGTTTGAATGTACATAACTAGCTAACTATCTCAATGATTATTTTTGCTTCCACGGGTATGTTTGGTTTAGCTTTTGGAAGAGGCAAAGGCAGCAGTTCTAGAGGTGTAAAATTGATTTTGGAATGATTTTGAGATGTTTGGTTCTTCTAAAGTAGATTTGATTCTTCCTCCAAAATTGATTCTACTTGAAGTTAGAATTTAGTTTAAATGTGATTTTTCCTTTGAAAATTATCGTTCAACTCAATTTTACAAAATTAGTTCTCTCAAAATCAGTTTTTTTCACCACAAAACAAAACATACGCTAAAATAGGAAGGTTAAAAAGCTAACCCGGTGTCGTTGTTAGGATATAAGAATTTTAGTTAGGAAAGTTAGTTAGTTATTGGTTTAGTTAGAGAAGAGTATTTGTATAAATAGGGGAATACAATGATAGAGGGGATTATCATTAAGCATTGTAAACTTTTGTGAATAGAGTAGTGACTATTGTAGAAAGGGGAAACCCTTGGAAGAGAGATTTCTCTTCTATTCTTTGTCTATCTTTTGTTCTTTCTTAATTTTTCAATGTAGTTTTTTCTTTTGAATTCAATTCCTTAGGTACCTAACAGTCACATATTCATATAAACAAATTAGAAAACAAAACCTTGATTAAATATTTTTTTCAGATATTTCAGTTTCCATTGTGGAAAAAACATGCTAAATTTTTTGCTTCCACTGGGTTTGGTAAACTATAATCCGATTTCCGTATTTAACAGAACAAAACTAATCATGAGAAGATTTGACTAACTATAAATGTGAGGTAGATTTAGATTATAAGTTAACATTTCACCTTGTGACTTCCAGCAAGTACAACAAAAGGAACAGCATGCCTTTGAGCTGCAAGTGCAACCATATTTAATCCAACTGGGGCAATAACTCCACCATTAGCCATGACAGCATGAGCTCCAACTATAACCTATATAATGGCAGGATTGTTACATATGGTCACTCAGGAATAACTCCAACATTTACCATGTCAGTTGGCATGTTGAAATCAGATAAAGTTTTGCATAAGAGTCTTGGTTCCAAAAATATCGCATTTTAACATACCATGTTCACTCGGGAAATCATGGCGAAAACTGCAGAGTCAGTAATCACTGTGGTCTGTAAGCCTCTAGCAGCCAATTCTTTTGCAAGGAGATGTCCCTGATATCTGATTGCATGCAATGTCAACACTAAATGGTCATATGAATAGTATAAATAAATCCATTTCTAATTGAACATCACCATCCGCTGAAAATGTGAGACTGCCTCTACTACAAACCTTGGGGCACCTTCAGCAACAAAGACCTTAAATGATCTCTTTTTCTCCTTTGCAGCACAGAGAAATTCCAACACTGTCTTTGAACTTCCTAGGGTTAATATTACCTCACTGAAAGTCAAGGAAACAAAGTGTAAACAAATAAGAATAAGAATTATAAATTCTTCTACAAATATAAATAAATAAAAAGATCATCATCTATTCATATCTATCAAGACATAATCCCATAAATCAACAGAACATTTGTGTTGGTTAAATAAGATGAGGGAAACATGATATATTTATATTATGTAGATAAGCAACCCTCAGCAACATGAAACATAGATGGACAAAATAGCTCATTCTCCAAATAAACAAAAATAATAAACCATGTCAAAATTATTCTCAAGATTAAATATTGACAACTTGGCTGTTTGATGTGTACAAATGGCATTTGTTGAACATATGTATGATGTTTTAACTTAATTTTTTGTGATGTATTTGAAAATTACTTTTTGACCAATTATATCAGCCAATATCAGGTATCCTCGGCAATACACTGTCACACATTAATAACATAATTAATCATTACATTTTTTGTTTTATATTCAAGACCAATACCTCAACCATGCTTTTATATGAAGGTAATGCAGTCTCCACAGGAAATTGGAGAGTAAAAAGGATCAAACAGCCTCCATGAAAAGCTTTAGCTGAAGTGTGGCTCGACAAGTTTAACCATATAAATAGTTAAATAAATTTAATTAGGTTCTTATAGTTGTTTTAGTCTTCTTAATTTCAGTCCAATCCTCACCACCTTTATAAAAATCTGAATTGTTTCTTATCTAATTGTTATAAAGAACAATAACAGTTTAGTTTATGATTAGGAATTCAACACATCTAGTAATAGCTGTATGTTCACCATATGTCATAGTATAGAATACTCTACTCAAGAAAGAAAGAAAGAAAAAAAGCTTTCAAACAACCATGTGGAGAAATTTTGGGTATTGGAATAATTTATCAATGTCTATTTAGGCAAGAGTAAGATATCTTAGCATTGGCCACTAAATAAAACAGTATGACTCTTGGTGCATAGTAAGCTCAAAAAATTGGCATGCAAATATGTACAAATACCCATATAAGCCTATCAGTGTCACTGACCAATCTTGCCTTTCACGAGCAGGTAATAAAATGTTTTCAAACAAACAAGCACATTAAAACAGGCAAAATATAAACACACATCTTAGAGTAGATTAAGGTGAAACCAACTTCTGATGAATGTGCTCTACTGCTTGTTCAGCTATTTGTTCATAGCAAGTAGATATGTCTTGAATAAGTTCATTAACTGCTTCAATGACATCGTGCTTCAACTTCCGACCTCTTGAACTCTTATCAACAGCTGAAACAAAGGGGAAAAAACTCAAACTCAGTAGACACAAGCAATTGAATATCAGAACAACAGAAATTTCATTATCAAATGCCACTATACAGAAGAAGGAAAAATAAAGGGCAGCCCAGTGTATGTAATCTTGCCCCGGCAAACAGAGGTTGAGTCCAAGATTTGAACTAACGGCCTCCAAGTTGCAAGGAAGCAATGTTTGTTGTGCAAAGGCTTGTCATAAGCAAGAAGGAATGGATAAAAAATAATAATCACAGAGATCAACAATTATAGTTTAAAGTATACAGAAATGATAATGAAACATTCTGATGTCTTCAGAAAAAGTGAGGAAACTTATTATTACATCTAAGCATTAATTGTATCCAAGAAAGTTAACTACATTAAAAACAAACTTGTCTTAGTAAGAATTTTCACAAGTAAAAGCCTAAACAAAAAACAAGAAAAAAATAATTTCTCCACTGGATATCAAGTAAAACACAAGCATATGATTCCCTTCAGATCAAGTTAGAAGGCAAAAAAAGAAAAGAAAAATACAACATGGTCAACAATATTATAAAAAGTTGTTGTATAACACTCTTAATCTTAACAGCCTGGTGCCATACTCACATCTACTTTTCCCTTCAGAATCACCCCCTGAAGAAGATGTGTGTGGAACGGCAGCTGTAATAGGTGCATCTTCTAGAAGAGTTTGCAATGATGGTGGACGCAAGGTGCTTCTTGCAGCAGCTGCAACAGCAGCAGCAGATAAAACAGGATAATCATCCCGATCCACATCATCTTCGTCGTCACTTACAGCTGATAGCTCCAAACCAGCTATAGCAGCTGTGGCAAGGGAAAGATCCTCCTCCCTTATAATGTGCAAAACTCGCCTCGCAATATTTCCCACAGCAAGCTCTGCAATTGCATGCATAACATTTTAGGCAAACAATAAATCAATCTCCATTACCCATAAAGCACAATAAACCATTATGCATGACAATGTAACCATAAAACATCATTCCACAAAAATAAAACTAAGCATATAGATAGTTTGGATAAACTTCTCCAGAAAATTTATGAACAAAAAAACATTGAGAAAATCTTGCAATAACCATATGAGCATTTTAAAGAAAGCTACTTGTATAATTTGAAACTAGCTTTGGCATCTTACTTTTTAAATAAAAAATCCCTTATGTAATGATAAAATCAACTGGTATTTATGGGAAAAGAGAGAAAAAAACACAACAGGAAGTCAGAAATTTCTTGTTAATCCCTCAGATCAATATGATATTGAGCAATGAATGAGAGTACAATTTTTATGGCTCATGTGAGAGTGAAGACCTCTCTTTGTTATGGCTATCTGTCTAAAAATTACTCCAACCCCCTCCCTTCTATCTATTTAGTATATTCTGTTACAGCAGTTGGTAGTTACAGCTTATATTCAATTAGTTTCTCCTCATTCTCCCTCTTCTTTTTCACACATATATTTCCAACAAAAGTCTCCTATCAATTAACTATTCTATAAACACTTATAAGCTTGTAAAAACTTTATCATAAGTAAAGAAACCATAATAAATATACTTTAAATAAAAAGTTCCTACAATCTAGAAATTAATTGAAACTTAGGCAATCAGGCAGTAATAATCCCAAAAAAACATACTTGACTTCCAAGACTGAACACAACACAAACATAATAAATATTTGTAGTTCGAAAATAAGTAAAATCTCCATCTCAGCATACCAACAGGATTAGCAGCAATAAGCTTCTCCCCCACAACCCTTACTGCATTAATCAGAGCTGTGGCCTGGTTTGTTTGAGGCAACCTCTGTTGTGAAATCACAGACCGAAGCAACTCTGCTGTCTGCTTTGCTGTGGCCTGAGAACCTTCAATTTTACTAGCATCAATAAATAAATAAATAAATAAATCAACAAACACAAACACAGAGAGAGAAAAACACAACAACAAAAATCAGTTCTCAAACCTCAAAAGTTCTTAATACACAATTCACTGAACTGAAACAATTTACCGTTTTTTAAGCTGATTCACAAAATCATTAACAAGGATATGAACATCCGGCATTTTGGTTCCAACCTGAAAAGGAGGAAAAACATATTTTTGTAAATAAAAGTAAAAGGGTAACCAAAAATAGCATTACAAAACCAAGTGTCTTTGATTTATGAGTTGAAATAACTTTTATTTCCTTCTGGCTGTTGCATGTTTTCAAGTTTTCCCAAAAACAAAATAAAAGGAGAAGAAAATGATTACCAAGGAAATATTGAGGGGGAAATTAGGAATAAAGTATAGATGCTTGTAGGAAAGATTGGGGCGGGTTATGTGTGTCCTTTACCATTTCCTAAATTTTGACCAGTCCAACTTTGGAACCCGAAACTGACCCTTAACCTGATGAAACCCAATGATTAATGGGTTCAACGAAGGCTGAGCTCAACTAAGACATGACCAGGTTGACTAGAATTCAATGACCACATGCCATGTTATGATCACGAACCTAATCACTCCATTAATCTTTTGATTTCCTTCAACATTTAAGCATTACTAGAGTTCATGTTCAAAATCTCACTAACAAATCAGTGTAATATTACTAGAGTTCTTTTCAAAAACTCAATTAACCTTGTCACTAAGAATAAACATGTTCAAGGTAATTTCTCGTTATAAATAACCACACAACATCATAACAACATCCGAAAAGAAAGACAGTGCAGTCGTGTGACAACATCCAGAAGCATAGAACAGACATAGCAATACATAATTCTATATCATGTTTTGAATAGGTAGGCACAAAGATTGAATTAGAAACAGACCTAAAATACTATTACCATTCAGAAGTCTCGTTTTGAAGATATTTTGCACGCTATCATTTCTAGGTACATTATGCAAAACCAGTGAAAAACTGAAAGCCTAATTCAAACTCAAACACAAATTTCACACGAGTAGAATAATCCTGATTTCAGAGCATGAGTAAACTATCGTTATTCTCAATCGCACTGATTCGGCACAGAATACCGGTGCAAAGTGGAGCTCTACTCCGATGCAATTCAATCACAGGCCGATGCCTTTTGCAGTGGAAGCAAAACGCACTGGAACAGCATAATCGCGCACACTACAGGAGAGGGGGAGAAAATCCTAAAATTAAAAGTAGGGAAAAAGGAAAACCTGGGAGAATTTCTCACTGTTTGTGGCGGCCGACGACCAACTCCGCCTGCGTTTTCCGGCGAAGCTGAGTTGCGTGCGACTCTAATTTATGTTTCTGATACAATGGGCAAAACTGATGGAGATGCTCCGTTTTGTTATTTTAGGGTTATATAAAATTAAAATTATTCCTAAAAAATTAAACTTATAAACTAATCTATCATCTATAATCTATAGGAAACATACTAATCTATCATATATATATATATATATATATATATATATATATATATATATATATATATATATATATATATATATATATATATATATATATATATATATATATATATATATATATATATATATATATATATATATATATATATATATATATATATATATATATATATATATATATATATATATATATATATATATATATATATATATATAACAGCGAAATTTCAATTTAAAATTAACATTAAATAAAAAAATATCATTTATATTTTTTGACATGTGCGTGTTAAAAAAACGATAGATAATTCGTGAATGTCCATCTAAACACCAATATAAATAATATGAAAGTAAATAAAAATTTCTTATTAAACCAAATACTAAAAAGAAGGAAATTGAATTCTTTCTTCATTTTTATTTATTCATAATAATTATTGTTAGTAAAAAGATTACAACGCTAATGAATGAATAATGTAAATTAGAATATATATATATTGAGTTATTCGAAATATATATATATATATATATATATATATATATATATATATATATATATATATATATATATATATATATATATATATATATATATATATATATATATATATATATATATATATATATATATATATATTATTAACTTTATATTATCAAACTAGTTATTTTTTAATTTTTTTTACTTACTCTCTATCACTATCTTTTTTTTATTGTTTGTTCTATTAATGACAATTACAATATGTTAAACCAACGGTTTTATTGTCTCACGTGTTTGGACTTATTGTCTCAGAGTTATGGTTGAAAATAAACTGTAAAATAAGAAAAACTTTTAAAATATTTTTTTTTAAAGTAAAAATCTATTAAAAGATAGGAAAATTTATTTCATATCCCTACGTATTTTTTTTAAAAATATCAATTTTATCTTGTTTATTTTTTATTATTTTATTTTTTTACTTTTTATATTCATGTCAGACTTCCGGAAAATTGGACCGATCAAAATCGTATCGGAAGACTCCAATCAAGACTTCCGGAATGTTATTTTTTTCTTCCGGAAGACATGGACAGAGAGTTCCGGTTTGTCACAAAACCTAGACCGGAAGTCTAACAAAAAGAGTTCCGAATTGTTATGAAACATGTACCGGAACACTTTTTGAAAGTTTTTCGGTTTGTTGGTTTAGTGTACCGGAACACATTTAGGAAGATATCTGGTTTACTTGATTGTACACACTAGAACTCTTTCATTAGGACTTCTAGTTGGTTTTTTTTTTAATTTAAATTTTTTTATATACTGCAGGTATGTAAATTTCTCCAAAAATATGTGTAGATACTTCTGATGTTTTTTCAACTACTCAAAGATTTGGTACACGAGAAGAGGTGATAAGGTGGATTAAAGAGGCTGGTTTCCGAAGTAAAGTAACTATTATTATCACTCGTGCAGATACTGAAACAGGAAAAAGAGGAAGATACAATCAAGATGAACAAACATGAAAATTCAATGACAAAGAAGTATCAAACACACACATCTCAATCTCATACAAAGTGAATACTTACATCATGTCAAAGTAACAAAGGAGTAATCGCATGTCAAACCATGTCACAAGATCAAAACACAATGTCAAAACAAAGTGCCCAAACACAGTCAAATTACTCAAACATCTCACAAGAAGCATTATTAAACACAAAGCAAAGTAAAATAAGGTCAAATGAGATGAGAAACAAGATGAGGTCGTAGCAACATCACACCATATCCAATCCATGTCAATGATCAAGGAAGAAACACAAAGAGTTAAGTCATGCATTCCATTCACAAATAAAATAAGTGTTACACAAAACAAGCATACAAAACATAACCCTAAAGGAAAGGATATGAGATTGGGGCATGTGATTAAGTGTGGGCAGCAACAACAACATGGTTATCAAGTCAAATATTCATTCATAAACACACAAAGGAAACATTAAAGCTTGAACTCAAAACATGCCTCAAAACCAAGTTCATACACCAAAGTCAATCAAAGATAGGAGGCACTCAAACAAAAGCATACATAGCCAAGCATCAATCCATCATGATTAGACACAAAATCAAATGACATGCATCATTTTCACATTCAAATCAACAATCAAAGTCAAGAAGGAACTAACACAAATTGAAACACCAAAGTTAACCAAACACAACTGAAGTTATTCATAAGAGAAGTACATGATCATGTAAGGAAAATGAAATACAATGGGCATATAATGGACCTCTAATCATGAAAACCAGAACCTAAGACATGTTGAGAGAAGAAAAGAAGGATCGTCAAACATTCATTGAATCATTCAAGAATCAAGCTCAAAAGATTAGGGAAGACATACACAACTCCTAGTTAAAACAAAAACATTTTGATGCTTCATCCAAAAATAGGAAAAAGAGCAAATAAAATCCAAATAAATGTTCAAACTCAAGTCATATATGTTAAGAATCAAATTGCAAAGCATCACAACAAGAATGGCAAGAAAACATCATCAAATGAATCAAACAAAATCAAGCATTCAACTAGTCCAGCATACTTCGTGGGCCAAACAAAATCAAATAGAAATCAAACAGAAATTGATCATCAAACCACCAAACCAGCACTCAAACATATTTCAATCATGTGTTAAAATGTGGATAAAAGCATGGCTCGAGAAAGCCTTCACAAGTGTATCAAACATGAACAATAGTTCAAGGGTAAAGGAGTAAAAGCACTTCATAAAAATAATTCAAATAAAATAGAAAAAATGGAAAATAAAAATAAAAAATGTCATAAAATTATCAAGACATCAAAATATATCAAAAATATTTTTAAAAATTTTTATCATGGAGGGATCAATTAAAATAAAAGCAAATTGAAAATGATATAAAAAATAAATAAAAAATATGAAACAAGTAAGGGGTGCATCAACAATCAGAAATGAACTAAGAATCATGTTCAGCGCGTTAGGCCTAAAAAAACCAGGGGTGTGGAAAGAAAAAAGAACACAAGCCCACCCATTAACCAAATCAAAACTCAGATCAAACAAACAAATGAAACGCCTCAATTCATTTAAGTGACATCAGCGCCACCAGGATCCATGTATGCCCAGTCAAACATTCCACCTGCCACATCAGCCAAAAATGACCAGACGTCGGAGCTAGGGCTCCGGTTGTCTTCTCTAGCAACGGCCACCGGAGCCACTTGAAAACCTCATTAAAACACCCAAACAAAAACCCTATCCCACATGATTTTCCATGTTGATCCTAAATATGACCTTAGTTTTTGCTTTTGAAACCTCTAACACCCTCAAAAACGGCCACGAAAAAAGGTTCCACGTTATGTAACCTCAACAAAAACAGAACAACAATAATACAAACATGGTCTACGCTGATTCAGAACTCAAAATGCAACAAACATGTATTCAAAGAGGCACTAAAGAGTGAGAAATGGAGTGAAGTAAATGTTACCCACGGGAGAGATTGGTAGCTTATATTTCTTGCTCAAAACACTTCACCAAACTTGACATTTTACTTCTATGGACCTTGAGAATGATGAGTGGAACAAAGGAGAGGCCAGGAATTTGAAGGAGAGAGAGGTTCGAATGAGAGAAAAATTTGAAAATGGAAGAGTGTCTTTGTTCTGTTGTGAGAAAAAATGAATGTTGTGTGTGGCTTGCTAGGGTTTTTTATACTTATACATGAGGTT